GATCAGTTGTTCGCGCGGTTAAAGAGACACTAAATGTGATGACATTAGCCATTGGCGACGGCGCTAATGATGTCTCTATGATTCAAACGGCGGACGTCGGCATAGGTTTGACTTATTTTTGCCGTTTTGGTTAAGACAAGGCGTTTAATGCTATGTTTTATACCGACAGGCGTTTCAGGCCAAGAAGGCACTCAGGCAGTGATGGCCAGTGACTTTGCATTACCCCGATTCTTATATCTCGAACGATTACTTCTGGTGTACGGCAATTGGAGTTATTATCGTCTCGCCCGTACAGTCCTCTACTTTTTCTATAAAAATGCAGTAATTATTCAATAATTATATTGATTTTTAAATAATTGATTGATTGAATTGTATTGAATGCCCAAAAGAGTAGTGTTTTTGTGATATTTTGGTACCAATTGTATTGTGGATGGAGTGGAGCCGTTATGATAGACCAGTTATACTTAATGATCGTAAACGCCATATTCACGGCATTTCCGCCCATGATTTTGGGCGTATATGACAGGGACTGTTCCGCTGGACTTCTGCTTAAAAAACCACATCTCTATGGAAGGGGAAGGAAATCACAGGTCAGACATACGAAGTGATGAATTGTTGATAAAAACATAATTTTAACGCTCTGTCTATACAGGTGTACACAGAGTACTCGTTTTGGGTGAATATGTTTGACGCGGGCTATCAGAGTATTGTTATATTCTTCGTTCCCTTCTGTTTCTATTTCGATACTGATATCGGAATCTATGAATTCGGTATACATTTCATTAGAAAATATTTACTTTGTTTCCTAACACTATTGGTATGCATTCATTAGGAACTATAGTATTCAGTGCAACTATTTTAGAGCATTTGGTTCATGTGGCCATTGAGTTCAGGTCGTGGTCTATATTACACTTACTGGCCATCAGTTTCAGTATTGTTAGCTATTTCTCATTCGCTTACATCTATAACTACCTAACACTGGGAGGAATGTTTACATCCGATGCCTTTATGGTTATTCAGGTATTGTT